TTTCTGCTGAAAGTACTCATTGCTGGGTAAAGCCGCTTCCACTATAACAACAATACAATGATAATCCAGTCAAAAATAAAAAAAAAAGCTCACATTGAACAGGAAAAATGGGTTTGTGCAATTAGGAGGGACGAAGGAATGAACTTTGTCATATGGAGGGGATGAACATTTTTGTTAGTATTTCACTGCTGCTGATTGATGTTACATTGAAGGCAGTTTATAAAGTTGGTGCTGTTGGTGGCAGCTTTCAGTGGAACAGTTTTTATGTTTCCCCTCAAAAGCTTGTTCGCTGGAGCCAGTATGTGTGTATGTTTACTTCCATTGCTAGCAAGCTGTTCCAACATCTCCAGCTGGATACAGTTATTTTCTCCTATCATTGTATCACTCTGTAGACATTAGCCGATGTCTCGTACTCTGATAGGTGTGAAGGAATTCTTCCACAAAGAATTAATATTCTTTATTCAGTTTGGACTCCCATATTGTGGTGTGTTTGGTGTTCTCCAATACTGGATCATCCAATTTCAATTCAAGTGACAGCTTTCCAGGGTGAGCTGAAGTGAAACGAATGCCAGTATTTTTGAGGTTAATAATTGTCATAACGCAGCAGTGGAATTTGTTTTACATACTTACATTTCTTGTGAAAAGGGCCTAATAGCTTCATACATTTATCTTAAGTTTCACCTTTTGGTACAATTCAAAATATTTTTTGAAAATACATTAAATCCACCAGGCTTTTTTTTCGGAATTTAAAAATAGCCCAAGACTTATATTTGACCCCAAAAAGAGATGTATACATGTCAATTCTACCATTCCAAAATCAGCACAGCTGAATTGTCAGCTTCAGATCAATGATGCATAACTGCTTTTTACAACCATACTATTTACACATTTTGCAAACAAGTTTGTAATCGTGTATTTATGTATTGTTAGAAGTTATATTCTCAGAGCCGAGGTCATAGAAATGGATGCAAGAGCTTAATTTAGTGATTGAGTGTTAGGCATAGTGGCCCACAGCTCATTTGGCAGGGCTGCTGGATATTGCCTGACCCTGTTTTCATTGCCTGGCTGTTGCTGGCAATCCCCGCGAGGAAAGCTAACCTGAATGGAACAAAATCCTCCTCCACCACTGAGACAACAAAACAGCTCTATAGAAACGGCCACTGCCACTGCTATAGAAACAGCAGGCACACAGCAACTCACATTAGTGGAGCAAGAACTCACAATTAAACTATGTATGATTTATGATGTAGTCAATTTTTCACACACCATTTCTCATCATTTAAGTGTGTGAAAAAAAAGTGTTAATGAAAAAGCAATCATCCCCTGTAAAAAAGAAATACGGTGATATAAGCTGCCAATATATTTCAAAATGCAATTTCAGCCTATTTTGGAGGTTCCTCAGTTCAGCCTTGGATTTTAATATTGTTTGCTAAACTCAAAATAAAAAAATAAAAGTATTTAAATAAAGCTTTAATTTATACCACTAGGAGGACTGCAGAAGGGGTAATATAATATAAATTCTAGGGGTGTAACGATATACATATTTTCAGGGTTGGTAAAATTTGAGCTAAAATTTCTATTAGATTTTCGATACTCTATGTCTTAAAAATGGATTAATTGAAATCATTACACCCTTAATTTATATATCATCCAGTTGTATGCAAAGGTTTGGACACTCCTGGTCAAATGGCACATTCTCGAAGTGAAAATAAGTTAGCACATCCTCTACAGAGAACACCCTTCTACACATTTGAATGCAAAATTACTGTTTATTTGCTGGATTTGACATTTTGGGGGAAAAACATAAAATATCGCCTGTACAAAATTTGTGGCACATTTTAGATTTTTCCAGTATGTAAAACTCAAATAAAGCAAATAAACAGAAATAGTCCACTATAAGGTATTTTTTGTTACCTGTAGAGGTGCTAACTTATTTTCACTTCGAAAATCAACAAAACACACAATTTGTTGAAACTTTTGCACATGGCTGGAATATCCAGGGACAAAAGGCAAAAATGATATAATTATATACATAACATATTAAATATGAAAAACTTTTGCACAGGCTACCTTTTATGATTTATTTTTTAATTATAAATAAATTGTGCATAAGTGTGTTCACAGCAGAAGATATATTTCCACTTTTATTTGACCATTGGTGCCCAAACTTTTGCATACAACTGTACTAATTAGCAAGAGTAAGCTATATGAAATCACATGCTGAATCTAAAAGCGTGATGATATATAGGATTTTATGCACTTTTCTGTGTACTGTCTTAAAACAAATGTGGGCCAAGAATCACTTTGGGTTCCCTGTAGAACCTTGCAATGAATGGTTCTTTAAAGAACCATGTTTGTAAACACCCTGTGCGAGTGTGAAGAACCATTTTGAAGTAAAAAAAAAAACAAAAACAAACAAAGGTAACTATACATCCCAACTAAGGACCACCTTGTGCATGTGTGGTACATGGGGCTGGAGACTGGAGTTCACTGGAGTTTATTTACTGCACATTTACTGCACATTTAATGTTTATTTAAGCACATGGAACTATATTTTTCTGTTTTTTGTGACTTATACAGCTTCCTGCCATACCACGGAGTAATGATTTGAGGGGCTATGAGGGGGAACCAGAATATCAACTTTCATGGCCAACTTTTAAAAAATGCCCCCCTATACCTCTCCAATCAGCAGCCAGCACAACAGCCAATCAAATCACTGTGAACCAAGTCAAGACTTTTTGAGCAGGACAGTTTCGGCGGCAAAATGAAAACACCTGTAGGCTTTGAGAGATTGTTCAGTGTGAGTGTGTGCATGTGTGGAAAGGGGTCAGGCAGGGTTATAATTTATGTGTGTGAGGATGATTGATGTGTTTCAGTTTATTTGTTTTCATTTTCTTTTACTTTTTTAGTAAGTTAGTAGGCCTGAAAACTGGGTCACAAAATTACAAATATGAAGCCTGAAACACTGCAACACTTCGGTCTGTTGGTTTTACTCTAAAGTCCATATAAATATATTTTTCATATATTCACTTCTATATGTTTGCAAAGGGAGATATGTGAATGCAATCACACATCTTTTCATACAATGACCATTGTTTTCAAACTATTCCTTTTTTTCTTAATAATAATACTTTACTTTAAGTTATACTTAAGTATATTTGTGAGAAAAGTCATCGTTTACAGATTAACTTTTAGTTCCTAATTTCTTTTTTGTGTGCGTTTAATTCCAATTTGTTATGTTGGTAACCACGTGTCCTGCAGTGTGACTGGTCACACCTGACTCTCATTTTAGACCAGGAGAGCATTAAAAAAGGAAGAGGAATCTGTATGCGATTCCTATCCTGATTAAAGGGAAACTTCACCAATTTTTCAAAATTTTCACATATTTCAGTTGTTAAGATGTAAAGTCATTCAGAACGATTTGATATGAATACTACTATGTAGTAGTGATAGGAACCAGACATCTAAAGTGTTTAATGGCTCTAAAATCTACCTCACATGAAGATATTTCATAAAATGGTTACAAATATGTTGCCTGATACCTGAGACTTTAGATTCTATATGAATATTTTCTTTATACGTTTTCTTTTTTAATATATTTATGGAAAGGTACAAGCAGGGTGATGCATCATTTCACTTCAAACCACTCCTGATGTTGTTCACATCTTGGTTATTTGAATTATGCAGAAATGTTGAAAAGTCTGTAGAGTTCCCCTTTCATGCTGGATATAGTAAGAAGGTCCATTTGAGGTTCTATACATTTATTTATACCTCTACTCAGGTTGTTTTTTACTTGAATCAAGGTACTAATTAAATCTTTATTTCAATGAAGAAATAGTCACTTGAATACGGATTTTGGCAACTCTGCTATACACACTGAAATCATCATTTAACTGTTGGTTTGAGATATAATTGGACAAGAATTGTCATTGTCCTTCCACAAGCAGCAAAATACAATGACTCTGCATACATAAAAAATAAAAGAGCTTTTCTCTTGAACCTGATTCTTTCGAACTAGGTGACATCCTGTTCTGTGCTTTTCTCAAGGTAGTCAATGCCATGCTCCCTTTGTGGATATATCTAATCTAGAGAGAGAGGTCACTATATGATATATGTTTGGCCTTTATACAATCCAGGGTGTGAGTTCAAAAATTAGGGCATGGAGATCACCAGATAATCTTGTCTCATATTGCCCTACTGGAATAACAATGAGCCAGAATGGGCCAGGTAAGAGGACACCATGCCATTCAGGTTGTGCATTCCTACTCAGCCTGTTTTCTGCTCTATTTAAACCTGGTTGTGTTTTTTATGTGAGTCAGAAAATGCATGGTAGTGTTTCCAGGGTGATGGTCAAAAAGGCCTCCTGCTAAGCTCTAACATGCTCTTTTACATAAATTAGAAATATAGTTATTTATGCTTTTCTTTGGACTCATACTTGTAAAGAAAGGCAACAGTTCCATATCATCTGTAGCAGTGGTCAAAAACAATCTTCCAGGTCTCACCTCCAACCCAAATCTGACCTCAATCAGCTAATTAAGGACTTCTGAAGGCAGGTGTGATTTCATTGGATCAACTGTGTGTTGCAAACTGCATGTTGCTACATTAGTCATATTACTTAATTATAATGACTGCACAGATCACGGATGCAATTAACGGTTTTCCTGTTCTGTAAATATTCCTACAAACCAAACTCAGACACCACAGCAGCATTGCCCATGCCTTATAACACCTGTGGAACTGCAGTAGCTTGTTGGTGCCATCTGCTGATCTTTTTGGGAAAGTACATGGTGTGAACTGTTTAAACTCATGCCAGTCTTTTTCACATTCAAGCTACCTTCATGCCTGTGAGCAATAGCCCTAACTCTAGCAAAAAACAGTTAGTTGGAAATCATTTTTGGCTGAGCTCAGTCTTTTAGGCATGTTCTTTCTCATGGGCCTCAAGGACCTGAGAGAAACCATATGAACTCCAGTCAGTGCTTACAATGGCAAGGTCAGGGTTCTTATCTCTTAGATTTCTTTAATCATCAACAGTAATTTCTTCCATTTTAATTTTAGATAAATGCATGACACCATCATTAGATTTATACATCCCTCTGCAAAACATCCCTTGTTAATACTTGATTAAGCCCATTACCTATTGATATGTAGCCTATTTGGCTCAACTGGAAACAACAAATAAGGCAAAAGTACAGTAAAATATTTTTGTTCTATCTGTATCCCTCCCAACTCCATTATGACTAATTCTCAGTGTGTCCAGTTGATCTAACCATGCTCTGCTCTCAAATGTTTGCTTTTGTAGCAACTGTTGCAAGATTGGACAAGCTTCAAAGAATAATGGCAAAAATCATATTCAATCCAGTGAGAAATGTAGGTATTTTGGCAAAATAAAATAAGGGATCCCACCACCTTACTTCTAAATAAACTTGCATCCTTTGGAATCTTTGGCTATGAAAAACACAACTAGACTGTAATGTTTAACTTTGTGCTGCCAACCAGGTTTTACTGGGAGAGCTAGGTTGTGTTAGTGTACACTCATTTTCCAGCAGGTTTCACATTGTCCTGAAAGTAGCCGGGGTTGGTGATGTTGCCAGCTGGCTCATAAAAGGCTACGGTGATGAACAAGCCCTTCCCATCTGTCGCTATCCCGACTCCAGCACGCTCTGAAGACTTCCATACCATCTGAGTGAAGTTTCCTAACAACCACATACAAGATTCTATGACATACTGCCTCAGATGCAAGTATTTTGTTGATAATTAATGCAGTATAACAGAGTTTGACAGCTAAGGTCTGTGTAAATGGTGTAGCATACCAGTTCCACTTTGAAAGGTAGGTGTGGAAAAGTTGTATTTTGAGCTTTCCTTGTACCACCCCTCAGCAACCTCTTCGCCTACAAGGAAGTGAAGCAAAACAATAATAAACATGTTTTTTTGCCAGTTTACAGGTACACCACCACCTTCACACAAATGGTACATTCTAACAAGTCATAGGTCACGTGACTGCAATGTGTGGTGTAAATTAGGCAGACCAGCATTTCCAGTTAGTGTTCAACTGAGCATTCAAGGGGGCCAAAACAAGTGAAGTTAGTGACTTTAAACATGGCAGAATAGCTGACGGTATGCATCACCCAAATGTCTGTCATTCTGGGCTTTTCATTTACAGCTGTTTCAAGGATTTACTGAGAATAGCGTGAAAAGCAAAAAACTACCAATCCTGCGGATGAAAACAGTTTGTGTATCTGACAGGTCAGTAAAGAATACCAGGAATCATGTAAACAGATGAGCCAACACCAAACAAAGCACATCCAGATTCAACACTGGTGTACAGAATATAATCTCTGAATGCTTATCAGACTTCACATCAAATAAGCAACAACAGTCTGAGACCATATCTGGTGCCAATGCTGTTAGCCAAGAACAAGAAAGCAAGTGTTCAGTGGGCACCGAAACATCACTATTGGACCACTGACAAGTGAAAAAAATTGCTTGGCACAGGTTCCTTCTGTGTGATGCTGATGAAAGGATCTATGCTATTGTAGACACCTGCTCATTCAACATTTCTTACGAAATCAAAAGTATTAATTGAGAGTTTGTTCCACCTTTGCTGCAGTAACAGCCTCTACTCTTTTGGGAAGGCTTCACAGTGGATGTTGAAATGTTGCTCTGAGGATTTGATTGTTTTCAGCCACAAGAACATCAGTGAGGTCTGGTATTTGATGATTAGTTCTAGATCACAAACGCCACTCCAACTCTATCACTCCAGGACACACAGTTACACTGCTCCACAGCCCAATGCTAGGGGGGGCTTTATACCCCTCTTGCAAATGCTAGGCATTGGACATGATGTCCTTAGGCACATGTGTGGAGACCTTAGAAAATTGTACCTAATCATGATTACATTATTATGGTTGCATGTTAAAGTAGGTGATTTCAGCTCAGCAGTTCAAGCTACAAAACCTAACCTTCTCAGTTATCGTGTTAAAGTGCTTCCTGATGCCCAAACATGTTACCAACAGTGCATTTTTCCCCAAACAACTGTACCTATGTAACAGCTAATCTGAACTGATCAGATCCATTCTTTGCATTCAAATGCCTTGGATAAAAGAAGGATTTTTCTGGTGGACAGGCAACCAAAAACCTGGACATTCCAGGGAAATCCTGGATGGGTGGCAACCCTATGTGACAAGGCACAAATCGTCACCGAATGGTTCTAGTAGTTTTCATTGCTTTACAGGCCTTCACAGTTCCTGGATCTCAACCTGTCCACGTCCAGGCAAATTCTTGTTGTTCTGCAACACATTACTAGATATTCCTAATAAACTGGCAACTAAGTGTATATGTAAGCATTATAATCTGTATAATTTACATATTTATGAAAAAAAAGAGAGATTTGACCTTTTCTGAATTTCGCAACCAAAACTGTGTTTTACATTTCCTCAAATATGTATGTGAGAGGAAGAAACACTTATACTCAGTGAGGGGGAAAAACACTTATACTCCGTTCTAGCTTACCAGTAGGTGCTGTCAAAGTAGACGTCCATTTGTATGACATGGTTTCTCCATGGCCTTTCTTGCTGTTCTTCAGGGTTTTAATGCTCACCAGGTGAGCTGCCCATTCCTGTGCCTCTTTAGAGAGGACAGGGCACTGTGAGAGAGGGCGTACCCCGTGGCGCTGACGGTAATGGTTCATTGCTGCCAGCAGTTGGCTGGGGAACTGAGCCAAATTCTCACCTTCATGAGAAAGACAAATGATTGCATGATAATTGACATGGGAGGATAACTGTAATTTTATTGCTTTATGAACTGCAATTTCTCACTCTCATTACTATATAAATTACATGTCAGTATTATAAGCAGTTACTGAATAACTCAGAGTAGAAAAAAGCTTTAGGGTTAATACTGGCTGAATAGTAAGCCACCTGTTTAAGAGGTTACATTTAGTCTTGGGCTTTTGGTTGACATCATGTTTTGACTCACTTTTGTCCCCTTTTTCAGCAGAGATAGAGGGTGATGGAATCTTGTTTGTTTGAATGCTGAGTCCACCAAGTGCTTGTCCAACGTCGTCTACTGGACCTAACAAGCATAAAGTTTAAAGTCTTGTAATACTGATAATCATACACTCCTATGAAAAAAACAAGCAGTCAATAAAAACCAAAGCCTAATTAAAAACACAAACCAGTACTTCAAAATGAAAGGAATGTGGAAGTCCACATGCTGGTTCTCCACTAATTTAAAGATTGTACATGCACTTGATACATACATCATGAAATAGAACTTATTTAAGCTAACATCACTTCAAAAAGCTTACATACCAGAGGTGGTTGATTTTAGGTCTATAGGGGAACCTGATGGTAGGACATTCTTCGCGAAATAGCCAGGGTTGGAGATATTGCCTGCTGGAAGGTACTGGCCCACCACAAAGATTGCAGCCCCATCTGTGGCCAGCCCAAACCCCACCTCCTTAGTGTCCTTCCATACCACCTGAGTAAAATGGCCTTGATAGGCCAACAGAAGTGGGTGTTATATCACCTAGAACTTGAGTCTATTAACTGTACTGAACCAATTATGTTCTATCATGTACTGTATACACAAACCGTCCACTTTATTAGAAACTCTTTCTGGTGGTTCTGGAGTTGGTAGCCCACCAGTGTGAGTTGCTTCTGGTGGAGGTTGTGTGTAAAAATGTGCTATGAAATGTGCTAATCGGTCTTGATTGTCCAGTCTTGCTTCCACCTGTTACTGCCATTTTAGCTGTTGATGTAATTTACATAAATGTGATGTGTCTAATGACTACTGCGCAGTATATTCACCTGTTCCAGAGGTGAATCCAGGCTTCTTGAAGTTATAGTCTTTAATTTCGCTGTACCAGCTGTCCACTGCCTCACGCCCTGGACAAAAAAGACATTCATACAACAGGTTAGAAACATATAAAGCTAGGTGGTATTGTAATGGGGACAGACTCACAGGACACTAAATACATTGCTCTTGCCTGTAAGGGTTTTGGGTGCTGAGCTCCAAGCATAGTACAGATTCTCTCCATAGTCAGCCTTGCTGTGCTTGAGAGTTTTGATTGACAGCAGGTGCTCTGCCCATGTCTGGGCAGAGCGACACAAATCGTGATTTATGGTGAGTGGCGGGGCACCATGCTGTTCGCGGTAAGTGTTGTGAGTCTGCAGGAACTCCTTCTCAAAGCTGCTGTCTGGGAAACAAAAAGGCAAAAGAATGAATGCTATTCAACTACTAGCTTAAAACAGTAGAATATGTGCACTGTAGAAAACTAATGTAAATCTTTCTGCAAGACATTCAGTCTATTCAGACTGGTAGTAAGTTCCCTTTACCCCAAGACCAGTTGATCAGCCAAGACAGAGTTTCTTTTATTTGGCATTGGAGTTATGAGGCTAATGTTGCTAACAAGTAATGGAAACTTATGCCCCAGTAGTTAGCATCAAAATGCAGGCCTAAATCATCACGCTCTGGTTGAGTTGTTAAATAATCTCAAATAAACTTGCATATGTCCTTTTTCTGGCACTGCTTGGCATACTGTTATTTTTAAAAATGGAAAACTCTAGACAAAACATAGCCTTTAGCTGCTAATACTGTTTTTAACTGTACATTGTATGTTGCCTGTTTTATAAAAACACTTTGGTTCTCAAAAACTCACTTCCAATATTCACTGAAAGGAGATTCTACGAGTATATGTTATGATTTAAATGATCACTAATTCATCTTGAATATGATTGTAATTTTACTGCTTTAACCCCTTAAACAGCAGTTAAGCAGTTACTAAATAATTTATAATAGTTGCTGATGAATTAGCCTTATGATTAATGACTGAATAGTAGGCAGAGAGTTTAAGAGGTTAAATTAAGTTTTGCTCATTTGGACATGTTGATTTCTCAAGTTTGGCTCTTTTTTGACTCACTCTTTTCCCCCGATGGCCCTTTTTCAGCAAAGCCAGAATGTGATGGAATCTTGTTAGGCTGAATACTGAGTCCACCAAGTGCTTGTCCACCACCACCTGCTGGACCTAAGAAGTATAACAATTGCCTTTCTGGATAAGTCTTGAGTCTTGCAATTTAATCAATTTATTTTAATAAAAAATGTTAAAAACGCTATTCAATATGTCAAAATTGGAGGAATGCATTAATAGACGTGTTATTTCTACACTAATATGAAACATGCAAGATCCCTCATGAAATAGGACACTTTCAGACTACCTTTACCTGAAAAGCTTACATACCAGAGGTGGTTGATTTTAGGTCTACAGGGGAACCTGATGGTAGGACATTCTTCTCGAAATAGCCAGGGTTGGAGATATTGCCTGCTGGAAGGTACTGGCCCACCACAAAGATTGTAGCCCCATCTGTGGCGACCCCAAAACCCACTTCCTTGGTGTCCTTCCATACCACCTGAGTGAAGTGGCCTATAGAGAACAACAGACAAAGACGTTATGTCACATAGCACTTCAGTCTTAGAACCGTAAAGAGCCATGAAAAGGTTGTCTGTAACTGGTTTGATTGGCTAGTCTTGCTTTCACAAGTCTATTATTGCAGAGTAAGTTCAGCGTTAACCCTTTAACTGTTGAAATAATTTCCATATACTTATATAACAAGTAGAGCATGGTAATTCCATGGGTATTCACCTGTTTCAGAGGTGAATCCAGGTTTCTTAAAGTTGTAGTCTTTAATTTCACTGTACCAGCTGTCCACTGCCTCACGTCCTGGACAAAATTGACATTCATATGACATGTTAGCAACACATACAATACTGTGGCAAAGTCAAAGACTTTGCCCAGGATAACTAGGCAACACTCTAGGGAGAAGACCTTCAGTATGTTTCACTTGCCTGTAAGTTTTTTAGGCGAGGAGCTCCAAGCGTAGTACAGGTTCTCTCCATAGTCAGCCTTGCTGTGCTTGAGGGTTTTGATTGACAGCAGGTGCTCTGCCCATGCCTGGGCAGAACGACACAAATCACGGTTAATAGAGACGGGAGGGGCACCGTGCTGATTGCGGTAAGTGTTGTGAGTCTGCAGGAACTCCCTCTCAAAGCCACTGTCTGGGAGACAAAAAAAGAACAAATGTTATGCAACGAGTAGCCTAAACACAGTAGAACAGTTGCACTGTAGAGGACTAATGATGAATCTTGATGCAAGGTGTTGAGTCCAGTCAAACTGGGGCTAATGCTTAAATCAATAGTTCTAAAATCTAATTTGCACAATTTTCACCTAACCCCAAATCTAGTCAATCAACCAAAACATCTTTGAAGTTAGCTTCTGTAGCTTTGTGATGTTAATGTAGCTAACAAGTCAAGGAAGTTTACACCTCACCAATTAGCATTGTGTGTTGTCCACACTTGACTCAAACTGTGTCAGTCACTACGTCAGTGTGAGGAATCACATAAGCAAGTCTATTTGAGGTTACTTAACAATTCAGTGAGACTTGAGGCAAGTCTATGATGATTTAGGCATGTAGTTTGCATGATGCTAATTGGCTGCTGTTGCTATTTCTTTAAAAAGGGACATTCAGTTTCCCACACTAGGCGGAAAACATCATAGAAATCTAGTCTTTGCAAATGTCATTATGTAGGTAACTATATGTGTTACTGACTACTATTTTGACTTTGTCTTATTATCTGCTGATGGAAAGACAGAAATGGGCCTTTTAGCAGGCAGCAGCACAGCATGAGCTAGCAGCCTAAAGCACTATCCTTACTTTGATGCTTCTGTCCTTTGTGTGACAGAAAAAAGTGACAAAAATAGATGACAGATAAAAAAAGAGACACAAAAATCATAATTACAAAGCAGTCACTGACTAAAACATACTTTTAAGAGTAAGTTTGTGGAATTTGCTTTAAGAGTGGCTTGAGGCCCAATCGAACCATTAAACATTCGGGAGAACCACCTTGTTGTGCCATTATTATTAATTGTAGATTATTATGGTAAGGAACATAAAGGATAAAGCACATGAAGATAAAATAGGATGCGTGGATAAGCATTTAATTATCACACTGAGAAGATTCATGGCATTTAGGCCAAACTTACCTGCCATTCTTGATGTACTTTTGAAAGCTGTAATGCAGAGAAAACAAGCAAGTTACTTGAACAAATTGTTTACCTTCCTTGCTGAAAAAAACAGCACACACCAGCATGTATTCAGTGCTGGTCTGGTGCTGGTTTAGCTATTCACTCAGCCTGGTCATGCTGGTTGACCAGCATATCAGTATCCAAAACTTAATATACATTGGTTTTACTGATGACTAACTATGCTAGTCTATGCTGATTTTTCTTTCAGTGTTATGTTTATAAGCATAACTCTTTAAAAAAAATGACAAACAGATCAGTCTGTCAATAGTACCAGCTCCCATCAGTCTTTAGCCTGTGGGAAAGGTGTGAAAGAACACATAAACAAAGCTCATTTACTCCTAATACGCTGTAACTGCTGATCTGAATGCTGCAATTTACATGGAATTTCAGACAGCTGTGGCAGGATGTTTAACCGGATTGTTATACCACAAATTAAGAGTTAACTTGTTGTGCCTTGTTTGTCCTCATACTTATGTATGTTGTGGTGCTCAATTAACTTTACACTCTACACTCTATCATTAGGTGTCTTATGTCGGTGTCACTGTTGTGTTGAGCACTGTTGTCTTTGGCTTTAGTACAAGCACATCAAAGCTACAATGCTTCTCCAGAAAGAGCTTTTTAACTGTTTGCTATGCAAATGCATTGCTATCATATTTGCAAATGGAAAGATCTCATCTCTTACAGTTTCAGTGCCCACACACATACAGACACAGTGACATGAAAGCTAAGGGCCACAAGCAGGTTTCAACTGTACTTATGTGTAAAAAGAATTTTTCAAGCCTGAACCCATCACTAACCTCAGAGACATTTTGCTTTTTCGGTTTTAAAACATTAAACACACAGCTTTTGTAAAACACACTTAACAAAGTTGGGACTGTGGTATTGGTCCGGATATTTTAGGATAGTTTTTTCTCTGCTTTTCCTACAAACTCCATTTTTGTTCTGATAATCAGGACTGTTTCTTTTCATATAAAGGCAGAAGCAGTCACTTAGGGCCACCAAGCAAGGGTCCCACAAGCAAGTTACATGCTTCTTCTCTTTCTTCTTTTTATTATTCTACAGTCAAAAATTTGCAATGCTACTTCTTCTAAAGCTTTCAAGCCAGAACCATGAAACTCTGCAGGATAATAGAGCCTATACCCAAATAGGTTGTTCGTGCTTTTTTTTAACCATTTTGACTGCTGGTGTTTGTATAGCATTTGTTCAAACACATTCCACCACAGTCAGTATACACTCTGCAGGCAAAGGAATGACACTTTAAGTAGTAGGAGTAGGAATTCATAGTATGAGTAGGAATTCCATTTCTCAGTGGTTCTGTTGCCAGTGATGGGACCTCTCTACAATTGAATGACTTCTTTTTAGGCAATTAAGACACTATAAATTGAACCAATTACTTTTCCTAACGCAGATGAATGAAATGGGTTGAGGCTTTCAGTTCTAAGTGCACTCACTTTTTACTTACTTTATTACTGTAAATATGTGTGTATGGTGAATAACTGCAAACAGGATAGAGGAAAGACATACAGCTGTAGCTCATCTTTAGCTGGGTGAAATATTGCAAACCAGTCTTATGACTTTATCATATAAAATCTTCCCAAGTTTTTTTATCTACTGTAACATTGTGCAATACATAAATAAATAAGTAAATAAATAAATAAGTCTGCAGATTTGTATACTGGAACTTTTACAGTTCAAGTAATTGTCAAACCATTTTTGACTGTTTTCCCATTCTTGCTTGATATAGGATTCCAGCTGCTCAACAGTTTGGGGTCACCTTTGTCATATTTTTTGTTTCATAATGCAGCAAATATTTTCAATGGATGACGGGTTTGGACAGCAGTCAGGCCAGTTTAGCACCCAGGCTCTTTTACCATGGAACCATGCTGTTGTAATATGTGCAGAATGTGGTTTGGCATTGTCTCGCTGAAATAAGGCCTTCCCTGAAAAAGACGTCATCTAGATGGCAGCATATATATCCAAAATATTTTGTTTAGCATTGTCCCTCTCCTCTTTAGATTGGAGGTTGCAGCTTACACAGCTTAATCTTGCCCTAGCATACAGAGATTTTTCTGGATTTTCTGATTCTTTTAATGATATTTTGTACCGTAGATAATGAAATCCCCAAGTTCTTTGCTATTTTACATGGAGAATCGTTATTCTTGAATTATTGCAATATTTGGCCATGCTGTCTTTCACAGAGTGGTGAACCCCTCCCCATCTTTACTTCTGAAATACTCAGCATATAGACTCAGTATATGAACAATGTTCGTCAAAGTGTCTATTTTGCCACAAAGAGTAGATTTTAGCTAAATAATAATTTTGCAGTTGCCTTTTCCAAACTTTTGTCAAAAGCATCTATTGAAACTCTTTCCCACTGAAAGTTAGTTTGAAAACTTGAAAGGTTTGAGTGCTGGTAAGTGTTGACATCACAAAAAGGATAACCCTGCCCCAAATATTGCTACAAACTGTTATTGCAAAATGACGAAGAAAACATGATCATTTGTATTAAAAACATTTCAGAAGGCTATTTATAAAAGTAAAATATTCTTTTGTATATAGAGTCACATGCAAAAGTTTGCAAATTACATGTTTTGTTGATTTTCTATGTGACAAGTACACATACATAGAAGAGGAGATATTTTCTTTGGTGAAAAATTATTGTTGGATAGAAAAGCCAAATTGTTTGCCAGGTTTTTGTCATTGTTTGACAGTAAAACAAATGGGAAAAAGTGCAGACTTGAACTGTCAATACAGAATGTAAATCAAATGTAAATGCCATTCTTTACATGATTTCTGTGTAACAATATAAATACATAGTTGCATACAGTCTTATGCAAAGGTTTGGGTGCCCCTTGTCATATTGCATGTTTTGTTGATTTTCTAAGTGAAAATAAGTGCAAACCCTCTACAGAGAATTTCTGTCCATTTTAATGCACAACTACTGTTTATTTGCTGAATTGTGGAAAAAAAAAAACATAAAATGTGGCCAGTGCAAAAGCTATGATGCATTTTATATTTTACATTTCATTTTATTTTCAACATGTTGAACTCAGCAAATAAATGGAGTTTGTGCACTAAAATTGGCAAAAAAACGTGCCATTTGACCAGGGATATTCAGCCTCGTGTGTACAACATCATGACATTAATTCATGCATTTGTTTGAATTACATCATTTGTAGCTCATTGAATCAATTTGGAAAATGCTGTCAAAAGATTTCATGTTTATTTTATTGTCAGTTATAAATGTTACTGTCAAGTTAGTGTACAAGTTACTGTAGGCTTGTCTTTTCATTTTCCGTGTTTTTTACAATTACTTGACATTCAAACAAATGCACAAAGACATAAGTAGAGGCGCAAACCTGTTACTATAGAAAGTGAAAGATTTATGGCAGTAAGTATGCAATTACTTGCAGCACAGCAGTCATAAAAATGAATAAATAATGTCAAATGTTATAACCCTAGACATCTAAGATCTTAAATTTCATCAAAAGAATCAAATCTGTGCAGCAAACCATTTGTCATAGTGCTGTGCAAAGCTGTAGTTTGAACATTCGCACATAGCATCACTCATACATGTATATACCTGCTGTCAGTGCACACGCCGGAGTAAACAGTCCTTCCTCTCTTTCGTTCTTTCCTTCTCTCAGTTCCTCTTTTGCTCTGCTCTCTCTTCCTGCGTGCACGCAGAGCAACTATTTATCTGCAGTATGATGTACCTCCCTCTTCTGTGAAGGAACTGTGCACTGAAGAAACTGCCTTTGCGTCACACACACACACACACACACACACACACACACACACACACACTAAGCATGTAATTACAAACACGCACCTTATACATTGTGTCACCAATAACTGTGTAGTTACACATTAGCAATACATGCAGCGACAATGTAACTAATGGTGATTTATTCATTGTTACATATAGACTGCAGTGTAATTACACATGTGTAACAGAGTAAGACTTTCCTATGTGTGGTACACAACAAAGAATTATAAAGGAGGAGACAGGTCATAGTTTGAAATATAAAAGGAAAACCTTATAATGCTCAACATGGCATCTGATGGCTGGTTAAGCCACTAGTGGGAAAAGCCCCCATCGTTGTGGAGATCTGTGCAAGGGCAGTAGCCAGAATAACCCAAAGACTCATGTTTTCTGTGTGTTATTGAGCCAAATGCAGCAAACTATTCATGTGCTTTTTGTCAGATTTTACTGGTGATTTCAAAATATGTTTTTGAAACTGTAACTTAACCTTCAGTTTTGAGTGTTTTGGTCTCTGCCCATTCTAAGAGATAAGAGTCTGGTCTTATATGAGTGGAAATAACTGCCTGGCAGCGTTGCCAAGATGGCTGCCAAGTGAAGGGGCTTTCCTATAAGGACTTTGGTACAAATGTATAATAGTAATCTTGTGTTGTGATGTAGTAACCTAACCAAAGTTCTGCAATGTGATGCCATTTACACAGTAACAGCAGATGACCATTTATCTTATCTTATATTACTGTTTGTTACTGTGATCTGATCAAGTTACCATGTCACAAAAAGAAAAAATACTCTCACTCTATTGCTCATAAGACAAACTATGCTGTTGCAACTATCAAGAGACACTTGTGTAATTACATGAGTAAAAACTGAAATTTAGTGTGTATTTCATAGGCTGTACTACTGTAATCCATCTTTAACAGTGAATACATCACCAGTAGTTACACTGTTATTGCATGCATTGTTATAATATAACTACACAGTTTCAGTAACACATTGTACTCCATACACTGTTAGAAATAAAGGTACTGTGCAGATACATTTTTCGTTAATCAAGGTACAAACAATGTAAATGTTCCCTCAAAGCTACAACAGTGGTTTTAAGGTCTAATTATGCACCTTAAATAAGTTTTCCCAGGTGAAAAGTACATATTTGTACCTTTTCATAACCTAATGTTTTAAAACAGAACAATAAAATAAAAAACCTGTAGACAGGACTGGGTGTGTGGAGTCAAAAATTAAAATATAATTTTAATGGATGATGGTACAATTATGTTTCCTGACTACAGGTACTGAGATGTACCCTTGAGGGTACCACCACAGCGACAAAAGAGGTACTGCCCCAGGAACAGTTTCATACCTTTCTTTATGAGACTGTATGTGTAGTATATATTTAGACAACAGTTTGTTCCAAACACAATTTCAGAAGCGATGCTGTTATTTGTAAAAACAGCATACAACTATTATTATGCTGAGCACTAGCTGCTAAGTACTGACTCACTTTATGCTGCAGCTAACCATTACTAAGTTTCTACTTAGCATAGCATATTTAAAAACAGAAAATGAATACTTTAGATAACTTCTGTAAGGCGATATCTGACCCACAGCTAGTTTGGTCAGATTCTGAAGAAGAGTGTCACAGCAGACATGCATGAGCCTGTGTGTACATAAACAAACTTTTTTGGTTTGGCACCTTTGGTAACAGAACAACTCAACAAACTGGAATTAGAAATGAACAGAATACGATTCAGCAAGCAAGATGGCTGTGAAATGCTTTACAGACTGGCTGGAACAAAACGACTTTCAGGTCAATTTTCTCAAGTAAAAGCCAAGCTGTACCTGATATTGCATCAGTTTTTTGTCTCTGTTCAAAGCACAAAAGGCTACTGCTTTTTGATAATATCAAAGCACACTTGATACAATGTTGGGGCTTCTTTGCTATACGTTTTATTTATTTTGCAAAACTATATAAGAGCAACAGAACACTCGAGGGTGTGTGTTATCTGTGACCGAAGTACCTAGATGTAATAATAATGTCCTATATGTATTTTATGTCCTGTATGTACTATATGTAACTTTCAATGGAAGTTAAAGTCACAGTAGTCTATTCTACATCATCTTAGGCCATTCCTATTGGCTCATTTGTCATAAAAGTTTAACATAGTGTTAACAGCTGCTGGTGAGTTTCAAATGATGTAAAAATGTAAAGATGGCAAAAATAGTGATGCAAGGCTTTGTTCTCAGAGTGACAACATATATGGTAAGCACCTTTTATGTAATCATGTGTCCCGTATATGTTGTAACTATATGATGTATCTATATGTAATAATCTGACCCATGTATACCATACAAAGTCTGAACACTTCCAGTCAATTGACATGTTTTCTAAGTTTTCTCTTTTCTAAGTGAAAATGAGTTAACAAGACGTCTACAGAAACCTTAAATATGGCAGCATAAATATGGCATTCTTCAAAATTTCTATTTTGAAAGAAATTCAGTGAATAAACAGTAATTGTACTTTATAATTTGCAGATCTGTGTTCTCTGTAGAGGATGTGTGCTTATTTATGCTCAGAAAATCAAACATGCAGTGTGACCAGGAGCAGCCAAACAAATATATATATGTGTGTGTGTGTGTGTGTGTGTGTGTGTGTGTGTGATAAAAAGTCCCAAATATACTATATGTGTAACGACCCATGTGTTATTAAATTTAACATTTAAGTGGGAACGATTTTGTTGGTCCTCAGGTTATAGGGCAACCCTATATTTTTCTAGCAAAGACATTATTGTCCTGAAAATGTATGAAAACAAACAAACACACACACACACACACATAGACACACACACACAAACTCTCTCTCACACACACACGCACACACACACACACACACACACACACACACACAAACTCTCTCTCACACACACACGCACACACACACACAGCTTATGTAATTATCATTAATTTCATTTAATTAACTGCCAGAATGAAAAAAAAATGATTCTCATGTTCTAACCTGTTTGGTAAAGTACGATTTACGCTCTGTAACGCATACTCACTCATCTAGTCAAGATCAAGAGGACACAACGTCCTGTTGCGTCATTATAAGTTCCCCTGCTGTGGTTTCTCACCTCATATGCTTTTCTTCCTGTTTGGGCCACATGACCAAGGCAACTCAGGACAAACAGAAAACACTTGCCACATATCAGACTCAGAAAACAGGTTCTTTTGGCTAAACACAGCCTCACATCTCTTAAAGCAGGTGTCCAAACCTTACATTACTGTAAGCACAGCGTGTCAAGTTCAAACAAAGGCTTGTACACAGCATAAGAGTTTTAATTGCTTAACATAACTGACATTTTTCTGAGGTGAAGATGTCTGTTTCAAAACCTTTATTTAGCCACCACTAAAAGCATTACACAAAATTCCCTTGAGGCAAATGCTGGTTAGCTCTGTGCTGATACTTTTCAAGCTATCAACCAAATGTTGAGCTAATATCCATGTTGAAATTGCTTTGTGTGCCCACTGGGTGACTGTGGGAAGGGATGGGTTGCGAGCACACTCAAAAACATGAACCAGGGATTTGGTTCAACTTATAATCTGAACAAATACAGCATTAATTGCGAGTGCATTTTCTACTGAGGGAACAAAATCCACAAATGCTGCCTCTACTCTATTTGACTGAATGGAAATGTGCTACATTCAGCTTCCATGACCTAACAGTGATACTCGTACTACCTCAACACGCACTACAATTCCACCCAAATAATATGTGGTCAACAGCAGTGCTGTGAAACTGACCAATTATACATCTGATGAATTGTGCAGCAACTGGTGGACTACAGTCTGTAACCGTACTACTATTTACATAGTGGACATATTAGGTAGGTGGCCAATGAGTGCAAGGATACAGTACAGAGCCAGAGTAAGAATCAGAAACAATTTATTTTGCAGAGTATTGTTACACATGCAAGAGATTTGTCTTGGTGAGTGCACACATTTATGACATGTAACATGCTAAAAAGATCAGACAAGCTCTCAGACTATTAAGAAATATTGAAATGAAAATAAGACATTTAAGGAATTGGCAAATAAACACAAAAATAAATAAGTAAGTAAGTAAATAAATAAATAAATGAGAGTAGATAACAAAAAGCCAATGTTAAAATAGCAAGAAAGACAAATATGTTACCATTGACACGAATCATTCTACCAAATTGGTTCAAAGTCAGAGTTGAAAATATATTTCAGACTTTTAACTGACTTGGACTTTAGACTAAATTCTTTTTGCTTTGAGTGACAGTATGCCTTACTTCAGTTTATTTCATTTAAAAAATGACTGAACATTCCGTTTTGTCACTAGCCGTGCAATAATGACACTTTATTAAAAACTTTATTAAATGTTTTGGCAGTGACAATTCTAGATAATTTTGAGCACAACTCAAAAGTGTTAGACTAGAAAACACAGCTTGTACATAACAGCTGTACACACATAAAATCATAATATTTTTCAATAAAATTAAAAAGGTACAGGAAAATTTCAAACTTTGAAACACATTTACTTCAAAACAGTGGGATCTAACTGCTCACCATGTGGCAATGAGGGACAGGGATGCACTCACTTCCTGCTTTAAAATGCAGGGGTGTGGATAAAATAAGGCTCCACCTATGGACTGAAAATCTTTTGATGATAATATTGTATGTATTTAGTTTATGATAATCTCTAATCTGAATGCCTTGAGTTTCATATTATAATCATTGTAAATATCTAAGTTTGAATACTAAATAGTTTTTTTTTTCAAATAGTTATTTATTTATTTATTTTTTTATCATGGAACTGCAGTTTGAACTAATTTGGTAGGTCCACATATTTGCAGGGCCCGGGGAGAAATATAATAACTGTTATGTACAGTGTATCAAAGAAAGATATGAACATATTGTCCAAATAGTGATGCAAATAAGCTGTGTTGCAGAGGAGAAGAGAAGTGTTTTGGTTAATGAGTGCTACAGCCCTTTGGGAAAAAAAATATTAGCATATCTGGTTGTGCTGGCTTTGATGTACATTATATGGCCAAAAGTATGTAGACACCCTACCTAATTATTGAGTTCAGGTGTTTCAGCCACGCCTATTGCTAACAGTTGTATAAAATCAAGCACGTAGCCATGCAGTCTCCATAGACAAACATTGGCAGTATGGGTCATACTGAAGAGGTCAGTGACTTTCAATGTGGCACTTTCATAGGATGCCACCTTTACCACAAGCCAGTTCATGAAATGTTTGCCTAGAAGCAACAACAGTTCAGACACTAAACGGTAGACCACACACACCCACAGAGCAGAGACAGCCACAGATGATTGTGTGTTCAGCCCAGATCAGCTGTTAGCCTTCTTTTCTGTAGGTGAATGCATCACTGCTGGTTATGAGACTGATCACAGTGGTGTCATCTGCAAACTTCAGGATCTTCACAGCTGGTTCTTTAAACAAGCTAATCTTTTAAGGTGTGTTCACATTGCAGGCTCTACCATATTGCTCAGTCCTTATAGCTCAATTCTTTTGCTCAAATTCGATCTTTCTGCCTTAATGGGTAAAATGGTTTTAGTGTAAACCCACCTCTGCCCTGAAATGATCCATAAGCATCATGAATAACAACAACAAATAAACAAATTAGCAACACAAGCTTTGACTGTAAAAATGATTTGCTCCCAACAGTTTGTCAGCTGTTCATAATTAAGGCTAGTAGGTGAAAATGGGCCAGATACGTTAATGCTTCTGCTGATGTTACCAGTAAATGATGCAAAAGCGATTCATGACCCCTGTTCACCTTCGTCTTTCTCCAATGATAGCTCAGACGTGTTCAGAGCACATTATCTTTGTAATGAAGGCTTGTTCTGCTGGTTAGTTCAGCTGTTTGTTGTTCATGATGAATATAGTTCATTCTTGTGACATCATGGATTGGAATATGCGCATGTGGGTAGTTTCAGGACAGATAAATGATAGATACCAGTTACCATCAACAAGATTGTAGACGATCAAGTCAGAAAGAATCTGAGCAAATGCTTCTTGTAATGTGAATGTAACAAAGGTGGCTCAGATTTGAAAACATTTAATTTTTGCATTCACAGAGCTCTGAAAACATCAGGACTGTCACAATGGGACCAAAAAATCAGATGCAAGTTGCTTCAATCTTGTAATGTGAATATAGCCATAGTCTCCCAATTGCCCAAATCAAATTTAAGCCTTCATGTACAATAATCAGTGGTTTAACCTGAGAAAACAATTGTGTGTCTGTGCTTTTACTTTCAGATATCCATCTTCAAACCTCAAACAGCACTCATTATGTTACTTTTCATAGTTGCAATAAGATGTACAACCCCCATATTAACCTCAGCTAAATGTAAAAGTTTTTGTTATTAGTCAAATGGAACAGTGCACGTCTGGTAGTTACATGTGTGGTTAAATGGAAACTGTGGCATGGAACATGTCAATTAAACGGTGAATTGCGTTTCTACGAAACAATTTGTGCTCAGTTTAACACTTGGAATCCTGGCGGTCAGCTTCCCAGACACAGATTAAGCCTTGTCCTGGACTACATAGAATTTTGAATGGAGATTCTCCATTGAAAGGAAAATATAGTCTAGGGCTAGGCATAATCCATGCCCGGAAAACTGATCCTTTAGTTATTATTCAGTAATTAAGCTCAAGGCATATTATTCAGTACCTACCGTGCATTATGAAGTAATATCAAATTTTTATGTAACTGGTGTAGTTATATAAGTGAGGAGATGAAGTGTGGGCCGACATTCAGACCCATGGGGTCAGATTCCCAGAGCGAGATTAAGCCTAGTCCTGAATTACACAGCATTCTGACTGGTGAATGAAGATTCTCCATTGAGGTAATTGTAGACCAGGAATAACCCCTAAATGGCCAGTGCTTGTACTGTGATTTTATTTAGAACATCATGCTTATTTTTGTTTATCCCTACATGGTCATGTCTGTCACGCCTGCCTCTGGTCATGTATAGGTTGGGCCTAATCTTGGCATTAGTCCAGCTATAAAACTGTGCCAGTCCATTATTTTACGGGCTAGCTAGGTGTCTGTTACTTGCGCGCAAGAAATAAACTTAGATTCTTGAGACATACGGCTAGCTCCCTGGTCTGTGATGGGGTTTGGGTTCTTCATAAACCTGGGATTTTAAGAGGTAAACCCCTGTCTAGGGACCCATAGAGTTTACATGGTTAACTCAACTGCAGGTTTGACCCTTCTAAATTATGGTTTTCAACTTTAGTCTTTTAGTCCAATGTTATATATATATACACACACACAATTTTTGTAAAGCTACTAATTCAGAGATACCTATTTTAGACGACACTTGTTCTCCTTTTTATTTATTGCTATTCCCACCTAATGCTGGTAAACTTACCACAAATTGTTTAATCTTCTCCTTGGCATTTGATTCTCACACAACTTCATTACATAAGAAACTGTCTAGTTTAGCTATGCCTCCTCCAAGCCTGCTAAAAAAGTAATTAAGCTGAAGGTCAGACATTGTGTCTGATATATGTGGCATAAAAGGTTTCAAGAGAACTGTATTTGTACATGGACTACTATTTTTATTTTTTCGTGCTTGAAATAAGCAAATGAACCACCCAGGGCTCTAGCCATTGTTTGCTGAGCTAGCCAGCCAACTCTAAATTAATTAACATGACTGTACTTCACATTCTCATCACTCTGAATGCACTGAATTAGATGTATTACTGTTTGGAAAATGCCACACAGTGTAAGGCTGTAGCCTTACTATAAGCTGTTTAATTGAAGTTTAATCTACTTATCAAATAAAACACCCACAAAGCAAGGGGCCATTTAGTTTTAGTGCAGACTACAACGAGTTTTCAGTGAATAACCATCATCTACAGTAGAAATGTCTAGTCTGTCTAATGTCACATCTTCTCCTTAGATTACTCATTCACTAAGAGGCTGGAATGTGAAGAATTAAATTAATGACTCTTAACCTTAAGTGTAGTTTTTATTCACACACTTTCTTCACATTTTAAATTATTGAAACATATCTTTTAGAAAGTGAATATAAAAATTGAAGTAAGAAATTTAGCATTACCTTTGTATATATGG